GTCCGCTCGTCACGCCCTCCGCAGCCAATTAATTATTATTATATATTGCAAAGCGTCTGTATCTAAGATAAAAACACGCGTGAATCTGCAGTTGTATGCAAATCTGATTTTTGCATTATCTCTCCGGAAAAAGAGACTGCGCCTACGCGCGCTGGTCTCTCTTCGTTGTACACGTGGACGTGTGATGCAGCGGTAACAAACAAAAAAATTCATACGCAACGGGATGCCGAGCCTATTTTAATTACAAAAAAAAAAATTAAAAAATCGCTCACACGTGAAAATGAATAATTCGAGGTTTTTAAGGGGATTTGTTTCGGTTGAAGCGCAAAAAATTAACGAATGGTAATAAATTTAATACCGTCGCGTTTAAGGTGTTGACTGGTGTTTTTGTTCGGTGCAGCGCAGCGACGGTATATCTGTTTTATCAGTGTTGCTCTGGTTCGCAGGAAATATTTTTAATATGCGTGGAATTTATGATAGGGTTTACAAGTAAATTAACCACGTTGATCGAGTTTGGAAAAATATATATATTTTTTCTTTATTATACGTAAAAATGTCTACAAGTGTTGAGTACATTGTAGAATTATTTTGTAAAGATAAAACTTTGACAATCTGTAAATTGGTCTCGCAACTTTGAGAAGTTTAGCAGTGACTCTAAAGTCAGACACCTCGAAAGAGTTTCAATTTTTTTGATTAAAAAAGCGTTTGTTAAAACACCATCAACAGATTCAGGGCATCGATAGTTAATAACAAGCTGTGCAGAAAGTAAAAAGAATTTTTAGTTTGTTTGGAAAAAATTGTAACTTCAAACCTTCAATCAACAAAATCTCATATGGTGAGATAATAATTAACATTCACCTTAAATATTATTCTATCAATCATGTGAATCTATAATGAATTGCAAAATATTTAATTCTATCGATAGTTTTTGTACTAAAGTTTATTGTGTTTATGCTCAGATTTGATCATTACAGCCTGTAAAACACTTTGTGATATAATTTTATTCAAAAAATATAATGCGACAACTGTTTTTATTTTATTTTTTTATTTACTTTAAGAAATACAGTCTTTTACAAACTTTTTTTCGAATAAAAAAAATGTACT